CTGCCCCCTGCCCCACACCACCCCCAGCCTGACCCCACCAGCCACAGCACGGGTTAGGGACAGACAGGTCCTGGCAGAACTGCTCACTGCTCAGGCCGGGGCAGCGGAAGCTGGGCAGAAAGAAGCTAGGTCTTAGGGCTCTTGGAAGACTTCCCTTTTTTCAAGGATCACTTGAAAATACAAAGCCTGTTCAAAGACTGAAATAAATATACTTCCTCACACTTAACAGCGTGATTTCTTGTTCCTGTGGGCAGTGAGCATGGGCTCTGGAACCAGGCAAACCTGGTCCAATCCTAGGTTGGCCCATGTTGGCAGTGAGACCTTTCTGAGCTTCAGTTTTTCCCACCTGTAAAGTGGGGCTAACAACGCCCACCTTGACATGGCAGGAAACAATGCCTGGGCATCCTGTGCCCACATAGAGCCTGACAGCTCTCTCTGGGGAAGGTCTCCTCCTGACCAGAGCATCCAGAATCCTGCCTTTTGCAGAAAAGGCTGAACATACACCATACACTACAAACATACACCACCCAGGGGCAGCACTTGCCTGGCAGCCAGGCCTCCTGGCTGGGGCCTCCCCTACTTTCCTGTCCACTCGCCTTTGGCTTGTGACCTGGGCCACAGAGCCTCCTTCCTCCTCTCCCTGTCCCTCCTCTCTGCTTTCCTGTCTCCCTCTATCTCCCTAGCTGTCCCTCTGTCTCTCCCTGTATGGCCCATCTCTCCCGGTTCTTCATCGCACCCCTCCCACCGACAGCTCTCTACCTCCTCCCTCCTCTCTTTCTCAGTCTCCTCTGTGTCTCCATGTCCCCCTTGCTGTCTTCCTCTCCCCCTGCCCCCTTTTCCTCCCCACCTTGCCCTGTCTCCTCCTATCTCTGGCTGTCTTCACTCGCTGCTTCTGTCCATCCATATTAGGGCAATTGTAGGAGGAACCTTTGGAGGAACAATATTTTCTCTGACCTTGACCTACCTTGAGAACTAGAACCCCTCACATAAGCCCAGCAGTCCCAGAATCTCACAGCATCCCCATACCAGCCTTGGGATCGATGGGACCACAGTTTTTGCCCCCATTTTATAGAGAAAAAAAAAACCTGCCCTGGGGCTCAAAGGAATTAGAGGCTCTGCTCAGGGGTGTAGCCAACCTTTCAAGATGCAACTCTGTCCTGTGTACAGAACCTGGAAGTGGTCCCCAACCCCTCCGTCTCCAGAACAGGAGTCTGACGGTGCGTGACGGTGCATTGGGGGTTGGGTGTGTGGGGCTGTGATTGACTGTGTCCCTGTGTGGGCGCGTCCCTGTGGGTTCCTGGTTGTACGTGACCAGTCATGTGTGATATAGAATTTGCACAACTGATTCTTGCTGTTGTGTACTGGGCCGTGATTACATGCAATTACAAGGTGTTTGTGTGTCTATATTAGCATGCAGATGGCTGTGTCATACACATGGCAAAGGGCACAGGAAGCGTCCGAGCGTTACCGTGTTATGTGAGTGAGCAGCCATGTGTGTATGAAGCATTAAGCGTGCCATGTGCGAGCTGGCTCTCGGAGGGGTTTGCATGTCTGCACATACCCCTGGGCGTCCCTTTCGGTGTGTAGACGTGTACTTGAAAGTAGCTGGGTCGCTTTAGCAGCCATACTGTTCACCTGGAGACGCAGCCTACCCCTGTGTGCCCATGTCCCCTCCCCTTGCCCCGCGCCCGGCCAGTGCCCTCACCTCCACCTTCCCGGAGCCGTCGTCCACCATCCTGAGCTGGGCAGCTAGCTTAGGTTGGCTGCGCAGCAGGCCCATGTCCAGCTTTGCCTGACTCAGTTTACCTGAGGGTGGGGCAGAGGGTGTCACAGGCGCCTACTGCCCTACCCCAGCTCCACAGCCCCATCCTGGCCCCCACCTGGCCCACCCACCCTTCCAGAAGCCTCCTGGGGCCACGCCCCACCACCCAGTCGGCCAAGGCTCTGGGTGCCGCCTCGGCCCCGCCGCCCGCTCACGGTTCGGTCCGAGGTTCTTGCCCGAGTGCTGCCCGTCAGACCAGGTCCGGAAGAGCTGCTTGAAGGCCGCGGACTCGGCGCCGTGGCTCAGCACCTCCACGTTGGTGTAGGTCGGGTAGCCCTTGGCCTGGATGAAGCGCTGGGGCGGGGGCTCCGTCAGGCCTGTGCCGGAGGCCCCTGCTCCGCTCCACCCGCAGGGCCCCGCTGCTTGGGCTGCCAGCCCAGCACCCAGCACCCTGCACCCAGCACCCAGCACCCTGCACCCAGCACCCAGCAGCTGTGATTAACCGAGCTCACGGCCTGCTTTTTGGAGCTGGCTTTATCACTACCGACTTCTTCGAGGTCTCTGAGGACAGGCAGGGTCCCCTTAGTCTCGGCTGGCCATGACAGCCAGCAGGCCCCAGGGGTGCCCAGGGCGCTAGGCTCCTCAGACCTCAAGGCAGAGCGTCCTTTGACATACGCTTTCTTGGGTGCTAACTGGTCGCCCCATCAGGGTTCCTGGGGCAGACTACATGCCTCCAGCTCCCCAGAGAGGGCCCGGTGCTGCCCCTCCTCAGACACAGCTGTCTCTCCTCCCTCGGTCAGGGAGACCTGTCTGCAGGCTTAGACCCAGGCAGGGCCATGTCCTCCATCAGACAGGCTCCCAGGGCAGGACTGCTTCCCTTTCAGACCCAGGACAGGGATGTCCCCTAGCTTAGACTTCAGGGTAGGACAGTTTCCTCCCTCAGACCCCAGGGAAGGGCTGCCTCCCCCTGGAATATGTGGGACAGCATATGTCCCTCTGAGACAGGGCCCCACAGCCTCACCAGAGCCAGGCGGAAGGAAGCCTTTTTCTCCTCCTGGCTGGACCTGAGTCCCTGCCACACATAGATCCTGCAACCCCCGTGGTCTAGGATGTAGCAATCCTGGGGGCAAGAGTGGGGCTGGTCTGTAGGTGGTCCAGGCTGGGTAGGTTGTGGGGTGGGAGGGGATGGATGGGGTGACTGGGGCCTCACCTCCTCATGCAGTAGGTCTTGGGTCAGCAGGTGGGCCGCCACCTCCTGGATCACCAGATCCTTACCCTTCTCGTAGACACTGGAGGACAGGCATCCAGAAGTGGGCAGCTCAGCCACTTCCTGGCCTGGCTCTACTCTAGCCACATTTAGCCCCCCCACCCCCCACCCCCACCCCAAGGCAGAGGCATGGGGGCTGGGGTCCTGAGTTGAAGTCTTGGCTTCACTGCAGCCTTGCTGTGGAGCCTTAGGCAACTACCTGGCCTTCTCAGGGCCTTAGCTGTCCTGTCTGCACCATGGGTTTCTCTGAAAGGCAGCCGTGCAAGAGTATAGGTGGGGCCCAAGGTCCCAGATGGCCTGCCCCAGAAGCCCATGAGCCTTTTCTGGAGGGCTTTCTAGAGACCCTGTGTTACTGTTGTATTGGTGGGCATGCAGGCCTGGCCTACCCCACCCACCCTGCCCACTCCCAAGGTCTGCTCACTGGTAGAGGTAGACACGGGCCTTCTGCAGCTGGTTAAAACTTTTGTTGGGCAGGGTGGTGTACAGGCTGCCCACTCGGTGGCCCAGCACAGCTTCCATGATCTCCATGAGGCCAGAGGCCTCGGCCTCGTCGTCCACCACGCCAATCTGCGCACGACCAGCGCGCTCCCTGTCCTGGAGGCTGCAGGTCAGGGCCAGGGCCTGCAGGAGAGGACTGGCAGTCAGGGCTTCCACAGCATGCTCTCCCTCCCCCCTCAGACGGAGTCCCAGGTCCTTCCTGTCACTGGTCAACTCCCAGAGGCTGGGGGAGGGTGTCCCCCTATCCTGGCATCCAGAGGTACCACCAGTGCTGGGTCTGGACTCCACTTACACCTAGTAGTCGCTTTTCAGGTTGGAGTGGAGAGCCAGGCCTCCCTCCTGGGGTGGCTGGAGAATGGGCACCTGGAGGACCAGCCCCTCCCCAAGTCCTGCAGCCCTTAGTTTCCAGGGCAGACACTGACCCGTGCCTTCTCGGAAATGCTGCTCTTGGGCCCGTTCCACTGGATCATCACCTTGCCCAGGTCCAGCAGGAAGATGTCGTCCTTGTTAAAGCTTTCCCAGGAGAGCTCCACCTGCCGGAGCCAGAAGGGGAGGGAGACAGGTGCCATACCACCAGCCTGTCCCTGCCTCCGAGGAGGGGCACCACAGCCTGTCCCTGCCTCCGAGAGTGTGCGTGAAGCTGTGTGCAACTGTATGTACGTGTGACCATGACACTGCTGTTATGGTGTGCAGACAGGTATCTGTGTGACCGTATGACACCTGAGGGTCACTGTGTGGCTGTGGCTGTGTGCACCTCTAGGCACGTTGCCTGTAGGTAATGCTGCATTTCATAGGTGTACATGACTGTGTCACTTTTCACTTAATGCATGTCTATATGCACACATGTATACAATTGGGGTGTACATGTTTACCCATGTGTGTAGATGTGTGTGTACCAAATACAAGTAAGTGTGTAAGCTCATGGGTGGCCGAGTATGAAAGTATGTGTGCCTGTGCGGGGAACAGTGTATTATCTACGGATAAGCATAGTTATCATCCAGACAGTGAGTGAAAGAAAAGACTTAAATAATTATTCCAGGATGACAGGCAAAACCCGGGGCCTCATGGTATCTGTGTGTGAGCAGGGACGTGTGGGCATCTGTGGGTGGCAGAGTGTGAGCCTGTGTGGGGTTGTCTTTGAGTCACAGGGCTGCCACATACCATGCAGACAGTAACATGCACAACTCAGGCTCATTCACATCACAGGCATCAAACACCTGAATGTTCATTACACCCAGTTCCTGCCAGATGGCAGCGGAATGTCTTGTTCTACCAAGGCTGGTATTTCCCATTAATCTCCAGAAGTGGAGGTAAGGTGCATTCTGTTCGCGATTGCACGAGGGCCTGCAATGAACTAGAGTGGCCCCAGGGGTAACAGCGGGAGACAGTGTGTGCGCCTATGGGTGACAATGACAACATGTATGAGAATGTGAAGGGCTGTGCACCCCCCACCCCAAATCATGCTTCTTGCCCTAGTTCTGCCTATAAGGACCACCCAGGTGCACCAGCTTGTCTGCCTCGCTGCCCCCCTCCCAGCTTCTTGATATGGCCATAGATGGATGAAGACGCCGAGGGTCAGAGGAGCCCTGGTGGGGGTGGCACTAAAAGCCTGACTCTGCCTTCTCTCTCCTCAGTCAAGATGGGCCAGCCGGGAATTGGGTACTAGACTTATGAGGGTGATCACTTCATAAGTTATATAAACGTCGGATCACTATGTTGTACACCTGAAACTACTATACTACTGCATGTCAACTGCAGTTGAAAAATAAATTTTTAAAAAAGACAGGCCATCTGGGGATGACAACACCCTGGTGGTCCCCCCCATTCCCCTGGCACCCTCCGCACGGCCCTATACTTCAGTGCACGAAGTCTGAGAGGGTCCAGAGGTTAGGTGGCATCCTTGGCATCCTCACCTCAGTGGCTGACGCATGCTTCCTCCCTTTGATGCGCAGGAGTCGCTGGATGTTGTACATGTTGGTCTCTACATGCTTGAGGTCAGAGGCTAGGCCTCCCTTCCTGTAGCTGGGGGGGAAATGGGGTGCCATGTAAGACCATACACTGCTATGTGCGGGAGTCAGTGCAGATGTGAGCACATGCATACACACATGTGGGGACATGCATGTGCCTGCTTAATACATGTGTGCAAGCATATATGAGCGTGTGTACAAGCACATGGCTACATGTGGTACAGGAGTATGCATGTGTTTATCCGTGTGTTAACATGTGGACATGCATGTGCATATGTACATGTATACCTGTGGGGGCATAGTGTGTTATCTTTTTATCCATGTGAGTACAGATGTGAGTGTGTGGAATTCAGGAAACAACATATATGTGTGTAGGTGGACATGACTATCCATGTATGTGTGTAAGTGTGCCTATCTATAGATATAGAAGTAACATATATAGAAGTGGCATGTTTCCTGCGTGTACACGTATACATGTGTGTGTGTCCATATATATACTATATGCATGTATTAGGTTCAACTGTATGAAACAGAAATGATTGAATTTCCTATAGTTCAACCTAATATTTTGCAACTATTAATTTAATAGATATTTGAAGAAATTTATAGCAAATACACATTTCTAGTGGGAACAGTAACATAAAAGCAAACTCAAATAAACATGGGTGTCCACTCCTGGGTGTATACCCAGGAGGAAGGAAAACATGTGTCCACACAAAAACTTGTATACAATGATGGATGTTAAGTAAACATAGCGGTGATCGTTTCACAGCACACATCAGTCACACCGTTACGCTGTACACCTTAAACGGATACAGTGGTGAATGACACTTATATTTCAATAGAACTAGGAAAGAAACTTGTATGCAAATGTTAATGGCCGCATTATCCATAACAGCTAAACAGTGGAAACAACCCAAATGTCCATTTCGGGATGAATACCTAAATAAAACGTGGCGATCCGTATACCGCACGTTACATAATTCCACTCATATGGAATGTCCAGAATAGGCACCTCTGGATAGACGGGGGCAGGGAGTACTGGGGGGCAGTGGGGTGGCTGAAGGGCCTGGGGCCTCTTTTTGGGGTGATGAATATGTTCTAAAACTGGTGGTTGCACAAATCTGTGAGTATACTAAAAATCACTGAATTGTGACTTTCAGTGGCGAGTCATATGGTGTGATTTGTATCTCAGTAAGGATGTCAGCCACCCCCAAACACCCTACACGCCAGGGGTGAGGGACACGGTCGCCCACCCCGCAGCCCCCTCACTCACATGACCCCTGGGCGGAAATAACTGTAGAAGCAGTCGGACTCGTGGCCCTGCACCTCGCGGTGCTGCACTGTGGCGCTGCCCAGGCTCTCCTGCAGGAGCTGCACGAAGGCCCCCGCCTTGCTCTGCGCCTCGGCGTCCGTCTTCTTGCCGATCCAGTAGTGCAGGTCCTTGGCTGCCCCCTGCGCGGCCTTCAGGCTCTGGGGGAGGCAGGGCCCAGGTGTTGGTGGGGGTGTG